TCTTTACGTCCCTGACACCTTGCCTGAATAAGCCTCGTACCTTGTGCGATGTCCAGAGCACGTATGCTTTCATACCCTGAACAGAATCAAGGACAAGGAGCAGAGGAGGCTCCAAGGGGGGACCGGCGTTTGTAACTGCCTCCCCCTGCCCCACCACCACCACCAAAACGCCCTGGGAGAGGAAGGCACTTACCCTGATCATCATCTCTCTTTCTATAATGCTGTCCTCCAGGGAGAACATTTCAGACACAGGTCTCTCCTTCATGGGCTCTTTTTTGACCCTCTCCTTCACACTTGTCAGGTCAGGCTCTGAGATGGATGGACCAAGCGAGGACCCGTTGACGGCCAGCTGGTCGGCGCGGGAGACGCTGATGGCTTTGGCCGGCCCGTGCCTCAGCACCCTGGCTCTGGCGACGGCTGGGGGGAGGCTAACCTGCTCTTGTCGTAGCGCCCCGTTGCTCACGCTCTTCCTCGGGCCAGGGTATTCGGGAGGGGGCTTGTTTGGGATTCGGGCTAAGGCCGCCTGCAGCTGGGCACTGTACTCCATCTTCTCTCGGAGCCCAGGGATCTGAGGCACCGATTCCGCAGCCTCCTCCTCCTCCTCGCTCTCACTGCTGTGGATCAGCATGGTGGCATCAGAGAACGTCTTCTTGTGGTGATACTGGGGCAGCTGGGGGACCTCGTGGCCCCCTGGCACCTCCTTGGGTGGCCCCTGCTCCCGGAGCGTGTTGCGGCGTGCCATAGGGATGTTGAGTGACTTCAGTGTCATGGCCTCCATGCCCCGCACCATGCTGTTCATGACCTCTAGGCTGTGGCGCTTGTTCATCGTGCTGTGGTGCTTGGTGGCTGTGAGGGGCTCGCTCACTTCCTGCAGAGACTGGTGCACCACTGGGGAGCTGTCCTCTTGGAAAGTCTTCACCGAGAGCTGCACCTTGCGCGTCACCAGGTCAGGGCTGCTGCCACTGACGTACTTATGGCGATGACTGGCCAGGTCTGGGGTGCTGGTGGCTGGGCGGGGCCGTGGGTATGGGGGCGGCGGCCTGAAGAGATAGTTTTTGAGCATGTGGGCCGTGTTGTAGTTATGGGTGCCTTGGAGCTGCATGTTGGCCAGCTCTGGGGTGCTCACTGTGTGTGAGATGGCGCTTGCCCCCGGCTTGCTGGGCACCGAGTTACTCTTTGGGTTGATCTGGTCAGATGGACCGATAAGTTTGTTACTGTAGCCCCCCTGGGGCCCATAAGGGACAGTGTAGGGGTGCCTCTCCCGCATCTCAGGCTGGCTGTACACCAGTTCCTCCGGATGGTTGTAGGCATGGGTGTTGATGATGTTGAGATTGCGCAGAGACTGGCTCTGGCTGTCCGTGTGCATGACCCCCCTCTTCATCTGGCGCATGACTGTCTCATAATCGGGGGTCGGCCGGTAAGACGGCACAATGATTGCGCTGTGTCGGTGGCTGGGGATGTAGTCAGCCCGCATGATGTCACTCCCAGGGATGCTGAGGTTGGAAGAGACGGGAGACGCCTGAATGAAACTCTGGGAGCAGTTCAGGGAGTTGATGCTGTGAACGCTACACACGCTGCCATTGGTGATGGTGCCATTTAAATAATTTAAGTCCAGGCTGTTGTGAGAGTTGCAATAAAAGGCGTCTTCGTTCCCGTGGAAAATGCTGTCTGCAAGAAGTCAAACAAAGGCACGTGAACCTCCACTCCATCCTGCTTCAACTAAGTTCACCCTCACACTCACGGGGGTGAGTTTTAATCTAAAGATGTCATAAAAAGTCCAATCCCATGGGCTCCACCCACGTGTTCCGTAGAAAAACTGAAATTTGCTTGGATGAGACAGTAATATACAAAAGGAACATTCTAAAACATACTGGAAAGGAAAAGTGAACCTACACAATGAAGGCAATGATCACTTGGACTATATATTGCCTCGGTAAGTGTTTGATTTTGCCATGAGCTTTTTGAAATCAGACACCAAGCATGGCACTCACGTTGGGTAGACCTGTCCACTTGTTCGGGGCTTAGCAACAGGACTGAGAGCCAAGACCTTTAAGAGGTCAATAAATTTGAAGTTATCGTGTAGTTGGAGCTGATCTTCCTGACCACAGTGGAAAAGGTCCCTTTAGCGGAGGGACTGCTGAGCATCCATAAATGCACAAGACAAATCATGTAGCCAGGATATCAGCATGCCTGGCCAGCTGGTTCTGAACAGCGACCAACGGAGTTCTTTTAGCCACTGCCTAAAACTCTCCTCTAGGATTGGTTTCATCATTGGGGTCAATTCCCATAAAAAAGAATAATAGGTTTTTTGTTTGTTTGTTTGTTTTTTAAGCTAAGCCATCCTGCCACCTGTTGGCAGCTCAGAG